TATCTATCTATCTATCTATCTATCTATCTATCTATCTATCTATCTATCTATCTATCTATCTATCTATCTATCTATCTATCTATCTATCTATCTATCCTATCTCTATCTATTTAGCTGATATATATAAATGTTATATAATTGCTAGTGACGATGCGTTGTTTGTCAGTGGCAGCTTAAGGGTGGGGCGCCCATTGCCGTGAACTCGTACATTCGCTCCCTCGCTGGCCTATATATGTGCGATGAGAAAGCGCTTTGATGGGAACCATCTGACAGGCGAGTGTATAGAAACATCTGGTTTGTTGCATGTGGCTGTGTCCTGGAAAAAACGCGCATTTACATAACTTTGGCCCTGTCAAATCCAGACCGCTGGTGGTTGGCAGGTGCTCCTGTGTGGTTTGGTGTGCTCCTTCTTTCCTGTCCCAACATCTATCGTCCTCATCTCTCCTCCTTTTTTTCTGTACATTACTCTCTTGTAAATCTCTAATCTTCGGCTCTTTTATGGCCTTACTTCGTTGCAAGTACCGTAAAACTCTCACTAAAACAAAACCAAAAAAAATTACAAAAAACCAAACAAACTCAGACTGTCTATCTCCGTATGTTGTCAAATATATTATATATATAGAGAGAGATGCGTGGTCTAAATGTGACACCGACAATTTTGTGTAGCGTTACCAAAGATTCTAGTGGAGAATCTTTGGCGTTACTTAATGCATGCAGCATCACGTGCGTGGTATTGTTGCATTTTGATAAGTTCTGGTATTCTATGTGTGGTTGGCGGGTGCACTAGTGTAAATTTCTCCGTCTTTCCTCCTGATTATCAAACATCAATGTTTTTTGTATGCTGCTCTCCTGTAACACCTCTTATATTCGGCACATTTATGGCCTGTTTCGTGTTGTAAGTGCCTTAAATTTCCATCTTTAAAAAATTGTTAAAAGCTTGTTTCATAACCAGGTAAAGGTGCTGTGTAAATGCTACATACATGTATACTAATTGTGTACCTTTTATTATTGCATACGTTTCATCAGTTTTGGAGCAGCTCCGTGTTGTTTGTTTGGGGTTGGGTTGTTGTTTTTTTTTTTTGGGGGGGGGGGGGGTTGTATTGGTTTTTTTGCCCGTGCTGTATCATGGAACGTTTTCATAACATGTCGGTCAATGAAATC